TGCTTTTCATTTCGTTTGATGAGGCGAATGGAAGAGATTTGTAAGATGGTTCCACTGGAGGATGCCTTGGAGCTGTGGTTGTAGATTTGTGCGAATATGTATTCGGCGCACCGCCCTGTGACCCCAATCAATTCTTGCTGATGTTTGGTCCGTCATGTGACAGACATCGTCAGAGCAGGACACCATGGTTGATGATAATTAACCAAGAACACGAAGACAATAAAGGTAGCCGGCTTTAAATCTACTTCCTTACAGTCCAGTTTAGCCCATTTAGGAATCTCATGTTTTGGCTGGATGTCCTATGCTTTGCCTAAATGCTTGCACATAAGTTAGGTGCTGTGGATGACATGTGAAGTAGATACAGATGAAGCGTAAAGTGAGTGCATTTTAAACCAAACAGATGCATCCTCCCCTAAAACACTTATACCTACAATGTTACCGCATCATGTAACAGCACAATCTGGAGAGCGAATCAGAGAATGCTCTAAAAGAAGGCAATACTCCAATCGTGTAATCTGTTGAAGGAGACCGGTGAATTACTGAGAATGGACAACGAGACCATTTATAAAAAGAAAATAATACTTTCCTGGGTATAGACCTGTAGGCCCATACATAAGAGACTACTTGAAGTTAAGCGGAAAGTACTTGTGGCTGTTGTTTAGGTTTAGAGAGAGAGAGAAGGGAACGAGAAGTACCACCGAGCAAGAGGATGAGGCTTGATTAGACTGGAATTTGGTTGACTCTAACATCACATTCATTTGAAGAGCAATGGACTTACACAATACGTGTACAATGGAATGCAATCACGTGGTAACATTGCAGGATCAAAGGGATACGTGTTTTAGGGGAGGATGCAGCTTTCAATTACACTCACTCCACGCTTCATCTGAAGCTACTTCACATGCCATCCAGAACCAATTAACTTATGAACAAACATTTAGGCAAAGAATATGACATCAAAACCCAAAAATGAAATTCCTAAGTGGACCAAACTGGACTATAAGGAAGTAGGTTTGAAGTCGTTCACCTTCCATGCCTTCGTGTTTTGGTGAATCATCTTTAACTAGGATATCCTGCTCTGACGACGTCCGCAGGGCGGTGCGCCGAGGACCTATCCGTACAAGTCTACAGCCACAGCTCCAAGGCAACCCCCTGAGCCTCCAGAGGAACCAACTTACGAATCTTTTCCACTCGCCTCTTCAAATAAAATGAAAGGTAATCGGACATCACTTTATTAGAGAATTCTTCGAAGCCGAGTTTTTCTACATACTTGCGTGGTTCTGGTGTACCTTTTTGAACGGATTTCATGAGACTTATTCATCCACTACTCTGGCCTTCTCATCCTCTATATTTGTTTTGGGAATGCTGATTTGAGCTTGCCCTATTAGCCTGCAATCCTCTTCTTTTATACTATATCAATCTCCCTGAAGGGGTGATAAGTAGATATAGAACAAATGAATGCCTCCAGGACAGGAGATACCATAGCTTTTTAACAAACAATTGGTCAAAGGATCGACTTTGCTCGTCTCTTTGACAAGTTGTAGTGCTAAGAATGGCAAGCCTCACTAATGATGCCGGATAAACGTCTGGAAATGTACCAAGTCCACGGTCCGGCTCTGGAAATGATCACGCATAGCAACCAAAAGGCCACACCACCCCGTTCCTCATACCTTCTATTATATTAGTAGAGTTTATAAAATATTATTTGGAAATGTCAAAGTTAATTTCGACAATGTATTGGTTTTAAAGGTAATGGTACTCAAAGGTTTAAATGAGGGTAACACTAAATGATGAAAATGATATTCACGGCAAATTTGTTAAGCATGAAGATTGTTCGTCTTTACCGGTAAAATAGCGCATTTCCATGTAAGTAGAAATCAGTCGATTTTAGCGCATTTGTAACCACTCCTCCATAGGACATGAATTCGATTTTAGACGAAATTTGGATAAAATTATACTTTTAACCCATCCTATTCTTGCTAAGCTATACAGAGATCCACACACATAAACTAGTAAAAAAATATCCCAAGGGAAAAAGTTCAATAAATTGCAACTACGCATGAGATCAGCTCTATAAGCTATTTATGTTCTAGAATTAAATTCAGGTAGCATACCTGCTGGTCTAGTAGATGAAAGGGAAAGCTGTGAAAGGCGATTAGACATGCGATCGACCGAAGAACATGCCCTCAGTTTATCCAAGTGCGCGTCTGACGCATCACCCATATGCTGAAGAGCAGTAGAGGTAGCTGTATCGTCTTGATTGTTGCGGGATATACACCGCCGTCCCACCAGAACTTTATGTGCCCCCTCAATAAGCCGGCTAGAGGCCCGATTGATTGGTATGTGTCTGTCATAGAGCGAACATGACCCATTTGAGCTACCCAAAGCTTCCATCGTCACCGTCACGGGTTCATTCACCAAAGAAGGCTGACCACGTATCAAATCGCAGGCCAAATTCTGACCAGAAAGACAAGC